ACCACTGGGGGTTTCTGTCGGTGGAAAAGTGTGTGTGACATATATTGGATATTTCTTGATTCTTGGAAGCGTGATCAGAAACAACAAAGGCATGAAAAACTGAATTATCTTATTAGAATGCGGCCTGGGAGCTGCTTTTCATAATTCCATCTAGCTGCTTTGAAGAAAGTAAACACAATAAGGAGGCTTTATCTTGATTTCAAAAGAGAACTCTTCCCTTGGCCGCCCCCTCCGCTGTCTGTCAGGGAAGAAATAATGTGATTACAAAGAAAGTCTGTCTGGTGCAGATGTCACAAAATCAATTCAGCTTTTTCCAAATGTGCAAAGAATTATTAAAATATCCGTGTTAATACCATTGTTTTATTCATCTGCTTTCCTTTATTGTTTCTCATGAAACATTTTTGTGCAACAGCTGCATTACAGCTGTGCAAAACAAAGTCTTAAATTTGTCCCGCTGTGTTTCAAGGAGGACAGACATCTGGAATGTAAAACGATGTAGACGATTTTGGATGCTGTAAATGAGCAAAATTCTGCTTTTGTTCCACTTTGCGAGCAACATACATATACCAAGACTTATTGGACTCTGTAATTAATTTTCCTTTGGCTGTACTTTTGGTTGCCCATGAAAAAATTGGAAGTCTGCACACAGTGCTTACGTGTCACATCACCGACAGTCTTGGAATAATGATGTTTGAATTACAGTCTTTGTTTCCTGTGAGGATGCGACCTGTTTGGTGTAACAGGATAAATCTTCCCCCCCGCCCATCATGGCTCGGTCAGCAAAGTTTGACTCAAGAGTTCCTGCTTCATTGTGTCTGGTCCTGGGCAGGTCCAGGGTGTTGTCATGGTAACATCCTTCCGTACAGGATCTGACACCCATGACCTTGTTATATAGATGAGATGACTGATTTACCTGCCCCCGTCGGTATCAGCCCTGCAGTGAATTACAGTCCTGGCTTTATTTGATGAAATGAAGGTTTGGGTCACCCATAAAAGGACAGAATCATCACACACTCTGCTGCTTAAATTATAGCGGAAATGAAGAGATGGAGGGCCAGTGTTTATTAGCATATTGAACCCATCTTTTATTGTATGTGACACTCCTCTAGAAGTCATGGTGCAATGTTTGTGTGGCCATTATTTGTTTATTTTGATTCATTATCATCCGAAAAGGTCCTCTATCTTAGATTACTCATACTGTCTGTGGAGCCCTGTCTCCTAGAAATTATGTTTAAATCAAGCACCAACCTCAGGGGCTAAAAAATGAGCAGACACTAAGTGTCAAAAACTGCAGTTCCTTGACCGGCCACTTGATGCTGGCCCCAGAAACTTCACTGACAATGTATTTTCGTTTTTGTTTTGTTTTTTGGCTAAAATAGGCAATCTTGCAATATAATATCCAATTGTAGTGACTACAGCATTATTTTTATTACCTTTTTTTTTTTTTAATAAATGTTCAACAGAAATCACAATCTTTCTTAAACTTTTTACGCCTGCCATCCAGTGAAGCCTGTTTGGTACATAAACGCAGTGTTTTGTTACCTGAAAGAAACGTCTCTGAACATTGTTTCCCCAACAAAGTCATTATGGAAGCACTTATCTTCTTAGAAGTACACCATATTCAGTTCTGTTTTCAGTCCGAGCACTGTTTAATAATCCTTTAGCAGCCCTTACATGTCAAACACGGCTGAATGGGCTATCTCACCCCAGCCAATAGATAGAATATTGCTTTAGCAAATATCACTTAATCAGGTTTTGCTGGCTGAGGGAAAAAGCTCTAAACTATTTCTGATGGCAGCCAGGAGCACAGTCGAGCAAATGCAGAGCTGTGACATCTCTCCAGGCACTTTCCTTGTTTCTTTTGTCCTGACTTTTTTTGATTGGTACAATAGATCACTAAAATCTCAAACTTTAAATCTAATTATGTGGTCTGACCTCAGTGAGAATCATTAACCACTAAGTTTTAATGTTTAATCTGAAAGCCTTGTATCCACAAAATATAGAAGCCAAAATATAGTCATGGTTTTAAATGTCAGCTGTGCATTTTAATCATTTTTTGACTGCACTGGGAAAAAGCTCCAGTTACCTAGATTAACTGCATTGGTTAGGTGTGACTAAGCAGGCATTAAACTCACAGAAGTGTCGAGAGACATGTATAGCTGCAGCTACATGCCTACATGACACGCCCCCTACAAACCAAGGCCACCAGCAGTATAAGACAAACCGACAGTTATATGAATCCTGCTGCAACACAACATTGAAGTGGATACGTATCAGGAAACATGGCAATATTCCACTTAATTTATTTACTTTGTTCATTGTGCATAAAGATGTTCTGGGTACCCTGGCTTCCCCCCACAGTCCAAAGACATGGCGGTTAGGTTGTGGCTCTAAATTGCCTGTAGGTGTGAATGTGAGTGTGGATGGTTGTGTGTCTCTATGCGTCAGCCCTGCCGCGACCCTGTACCAGGATAAGTTGTTATGGAAAATGAATGAATGAACTTCATAGTTAGGTAAAGGCTAACTTAGCATTTCCTTCAGGGCTTCTGCTTCTGGACCAAGGAGTGAAGGGGGGCTGATTGTGTAGTTTTTTTTTGGGGGGGGGGGGTTCAGACTAAACTCAGCTGTTAATCTTTATGCACTTGAAAGTGAAGGGGGTCATTTCAAAATAATTAAATCTGTGTTTTATTCCTATATACCATAGATTTCAATCCTTTTTTGATTTGCATTTTTTCAGTTCTCACTTTCATCCCATCTACTCTCAAGGTTTTCTTTGTGCTTTGTCTTACCCTTATGGTGGTGCCTTTTGTCTAACAAACCTAATACTGTCCTTGGAGAATCTGCCCAAAGCAGGCTTAAGTTGTAGAAATAAAGTGACAACTGTACCATCTTATGTAACGTACAGATTCCTGTGTGATCTTAAACAGGCTTTTATGAAACAGCTTGATTTTAATTGCACATTTGAGCAACACGCCACTTATAACCCATGGGTTTGATGTTAATGTGGTATTCAAGAGATGTTGATTGAACAGCACATGACTGTTGCACCCACAAATTTTATCAAAAGTGTTCTGGTCTGTGTGGTAGGTTTGAAAGGATGTTAAATGGGGTGCTTTTTTACACTGTGTAATTAAAAAAATAAAAGGATGTGGCTTCCTGATGCCACAGAGTGTGGCCTGGCGGGCCGAGAAAACAGGATGTGTCTGATATGTATGTGGCGGTGCTGATAATCTGAGACCATGCTTGTTCCCAAGTTTTTAAATGTCAGTCTTTGTTATCTTACAAAGACTGAATGGTGTGAATTTTTAAACCTATTCTTTTGTACATATGTTGGTTTACTCATTAAACAAGTGAGACAACACAGAAATGACCAAGTTGGCATTTAAAACCATTTTTGATATATATGTAAATATATTTCAATTTTGATTACTGACAGATTATTGTCTATACGTAGTCAAGGTCAATTTTATTTAGCATTTGCAGTTGGAGCCACATTGAAATTGGGGTGCAAGAGCTCAAAAATCACAACAGATCAGACAGACAGCATATGAAACAGCATACATTTTAGAGTAAAAAAAAAAATCACAGAATAAACATTATAAATTAGAAGATTTCTAAATAGTAATATTTAAGAAAACAGATTAAAAAAATGCCTATACAAGGATTGGACCAGCAATCGCCCAGTGTATGTGCGTAGATGACATGTGAAATAGCTTATAAAATAATAAGCAAACAATCACCTAACTCATAGTAAAAATAGTGTGTGCAGCTATAGATTTAACTTTCTAATATAAGTTATTGAAGCTCTGCTCTGAACTAGGAAACAAACTCTTTGCAATACAAGTGGTTTTAGTAAAAGAAAAGTGACATTTTTGTTTATCTGTTGTTGTGCAACATGCTCATGCATTTTAGATTTGAAATTAAAGAACGACTGTGCCAGCTTAAGATTCTAGGTTGTAGAAATTGTAGCTATTTATATAGATCCCCAGTTTCAGAAGACCAAATTCTTTTTGGCATAATCATATTTGGTTGCAAATAATTCGTATTCAGTACCTGAAGTCCTCTTTCAATCTTCAGTCAAAAGTCAGGTGACTGACAGTAAAGGACAATCCACTGCCCCACCTAAAGCTCCTTGCATTGCCTGAATGCTCAGGATGATTGCCTCACTGAGTTGTACTACAGCTGCTTGCAAGCTACTTGTCCTACAGTCTTTACTCAGTACGGATGAAAGCACCCACAAACACGTCTTCCACTTGCTCAGTTTCAAGTCTAGTTTGTTGGAATACAAAGCCCAAACTTCAAAACAATGCGTTACTGTTGTTCTACTTTCAGATTTCTGTAAACTGGGAAACTCTTCCTCTGTGCTATTTGTCAGACTTGATTGCATCTAAACTCAGCTGAAGTGCTTTTGATTTCCATTTTCCATATAACTGATGTAGTTCATAGGATTTAGGACATTGAGGTTTTGATTCAGTGAATAGTATCAGTACCTTTATCTCACCTAAGCCTGGCTGAAACAGCCAACAACAACACAGGACACCAATTCAGAAATAAGCTCTCTTAATCCTCTTCACTTCTGCCCCTCTGCTCTTCAAGTCTTAACGGTCCAGTTGAGGGTTAGGAGGAGACGGATGACTGCCCCATAGGAAAGACTGGCTGCTACGTAGAGAAAGTTTGCCATCTAATGGAGACAGTGTCGCACTGCTTTTCAAATTATTTTCCTCTCACACATCATATTTATCTGTTTCCCTCTTTCTGCATGTATCTATGTATGCATCCTCTGTGCTTCAGTTCAGCTCTCAGTTTGATAAGTTAAATTGTTTGATGGAATTCATTTTTCCTTGTTTGCCAAAACTTTGTAATTAACTAAGTGTCTAACTGCTCTATGCAGTTTGTTGAAGTGAAGAATGTGTCTCATGTAATTCAAATGAATGTTTTGAATTAAATGAACAATTAATTAAAATTTTAATTACACCTTTCTGTCTTATTCTCTTTTTCAGGTCCAGTACCCCTCACAGTGGAGACTTGAATATTGTTCATCATACTCGTACTACAGTCAGTCCCTGTAGCCCGTTGCTTCATGGAGGGGTTTCCTGTCCACTGACCCAGCAGCCTGCCTCACTGGATCAGCAGTCATGTCCGCCTGCAGCACCTTCACTGAACACGTGTGGAAGCCAGGCGAGTGCAAGAACTGCTTTAAACCTAAAAGTCTGCACTGTCTGGCTCAGAGTGGTGGAGGGAAGCCTCCGTCTGAGCAGAGGCCTCCAACAAGTCAGCAACAGAATCCACCCCCTGCTGGCGCCAGAGCCAACACTAACCTTACCATCAGCTCCCAGAGGGCTGGTAGTGGGTCTGCCCGCTCAGGACACTTCCGTCCACCAGTGGCTAAGAAGCCAACCATTGCTGTTAAGCCCACTATGATGCTGCCCTGCTCCTCTGCAGGACTGGATTCAGACGGCAACCTACAACGACCACCAAATGTGTTAGAACAGGGCAAAACATCAGCCTTCACAGTTTGGAATCGCAACGGACTAAACCGTAAGAGGCCTGGTGGACCCAGCAACAACAACGAAGGAGAAGATGGCAGTGAGGAGATTGAGGGTTATGGACCACTTAGCCCAAGGACCCCTAGTGGAAATAACAACAACAGTGGACTGGCAGATGTCCTGAAGGAGATTGCTGGGTTAGGCCCTGGCCCCGGCCCTAGCCCCACTCCTCTTTCTGGTTCCAAGGACCTGTTTTGGGGACGAATCAGTAGTTCATACCAGCGGTCCTTGGAAAGAGGCCTTCCGGCCTCAAGCTGTCTGGCCATGGGGGGCAGCAGTAGTTGTGGTGGTGGCACTGGTCAAAAACGGGTATCCCTTAGCGATAGCTCCGAGATAATCAGCACAGAGGGAGGTCGCTTTTGCTACCCAGAGTTTTCCAGTGAAGATGAAGAAGAAGAGGATGATGATGAGGAAGACACTGAAAGAGATGATGATGAACATGAGAGCTGGGATGAAAGTGATGAAGAGTTACTAGCCATGGAGATCCGTATGCGAGGCCAACCAAGATTTGCAAATTTCCGTGCTGCCACATTGTCTCCAGTGCCCTTTGCTGCAGGGAAAAAGTGGAACACTGTGCCACTTCGCAATCGCTCACTACAGCGGATTTGTGCGGTTGACTATGACGATAGCTATGATGAGATCTTGAACGGATACCCCTCCGTAGACTCCAATGGAGCTCTGCTTCACTATGGACCCCATGACATGCAAGGCAGCGGATTCCTATCAAATTCAGAGTCTACCACTTCTCCAGAATCATCGTCATCACTTCCAGAAGATTCTCGAACAACATCCAGCAGTGGGAGCAGTGCCCCCTGTGCTCTTCGAAATGGCTTGCATTCTCCCACATCTACTAAGACACCAATCCCCTGCACTTCTCCCACAAAAAAGGAGCCTGTCCACAGAGCACTGAGTCCACTTAAGGTGACTGAAACACACAAGGCTGTTCTGGCTATTAGATTAGAAGACCAGGACGGCAGAGAAGGTTTGCCAATGCCCCAAGCCCTTCCTGGTCAACCAGTCACTATCAGTTTTAGTCCCACAGAGGAGCAAGCTAAACCATACCGTGTAGTAAATCTGGAAAAATCGCTCATCTGTAAGCCTTACACTGTGGTGGATGTGTCAGCATCCATGGCCAACAAAGATGAGCAGACTCCAGACGCTACTATTCCAAAACCCAAAAACCTTTCAATGCCCTCCAGCCCTACATCATTCTGTAGCACACCTGTAGGTCAGCCCCTGTCTCCAACCTCCCCTCTTTCTCCTTCTTCTCCTGTAATGCCAACATCGCCCACATCCGTAGCTCTGTCAAGTACCTCCCGAAAGAAATCAGGGAACATACGCTACCAGGAAGTGTGGACATCAAGCACAAGTCCTCGCCAAAAGATACCTAAAGTGGATCTAGGGGGTGGGAGTAATCCTAGCCCCTCTATCCCTACTCAGCACTGCAGCCACAAGTCAGCTCCCACTTCTCCCATTGCCGGGCTGTCTTCCTCCCGAACTGTACCAGTGAAATCCTCCAACTTATCAGAGATAAAGTTTAACAGTTTCAATAATGCAGGTATGCCTCCTTTTCCCATTATTATCAGAGATGAGCCAGCCTATGCCCGCAGCTCCAAGAATGCTGTTAAGGTACCTATTGTTATCAATCCAAGTGCATACGACAACCTGGCTGTGTATAAGAGCTTCTTGGGACTCAGTGGAGAACTGCCACAGCCAAAAGGGGTCGGCAATAGGGTAGCCAGTCATACTTATGAAGAGATTGGATCCTCTGAGAGTGTCCAGTCCTCCTCAACTGAGAAAACTGTCTCTGGTAGAGGCACATCAGAGAGAGCCTCTTTTGAAGCTCCACCTGAGGCAGTGTCAAAAGCACCAAATTTACAACCTAGAACCACTACAGACTCTAGCACTGTGACAAGCACTGTGATGAGCTCCACTGCTGGGGCCCTCTCCCCCACTACATCGACAAATTCCCCTGCCATTACTGCAAACCAACCTAAAACCAGCCCTACTGCCAATGCTGTTACACGCACTTGCAAGACAAGTGGAGACGCTACTTGCAGTAAAGATGATAATACAGACTTAGCCTTGTCCTCTGGGACAGAGGCAAGCCACAGGGAGGAAGCCAGTGCTGTGCTCTTACAGATTGTGGCCTCCATCCAGCCTCCCCAGTCTCCTCCAGAGTCGCCCTCAGTACAAGCCAATACTCTCAGTTCTGAGGAACTGTATGCCCTCCCACCTGATGCCATGAAGGAGACCCTCACCAGACCCAAGTCTCTTTTTTCCACAACTGACGGCTGTCTTTCCAAACCCAAGAAGGACACACCCTCCAAAGTTTTGTCTAAATCTCAGAGTGCCTCTGCTGCTGTCCCACTCTCCAGTCCCCGGTCAGAGCCCAGTGCCCCCTTCCCCCCTCCTAGATCTACATCTTCCCCTTACCACGCTACTAACATCCTCCAGAGGCATTTTAGCAACTGGACCAAGAGCTCAGCCTCCAGTTCTCCTGTACGACCCAGTGAAGGTGAAGCAAGTCCAGGTGGAGAGGGGAGACGTATTTCAGCAGAAAGCTCCAAACCCAAACGCTGGATCTCGTTTAAGAGCTTTTTCCGTCGGCGGAAAGACGAGGATGAGCAGAGAGAACGGGCGGAGAGAGAGAAGGAGAAAGGCAAGATAGTGGGGCTTGATGGAACTGTCATTCACATGCTTCCACCACCACCAGTTCAACAGCATCACTGGTTCACCGAGGCAAAGCCAGAGGATCCCAACCAGAAGCCAACCATCATCTTCACCTACAAACCAGACAGTGGCAACACCCCCGGGGACGGAGAAGGAGAACTACGAGTAGAGGAGTGCAAAGAAAATGTGCTACTGACTCCTGATGAGAGCAAAGAACCCAGATCATTGAGCCCAGGGCGAACACCACCCTCAAACACCACAGGATGCGATCTCATCAGCAAGGATTTAAGGTATTTATCCAAGATTTCTTACTCACTCCTCTGATGCCACTATATTAATGTATGACCTCATGACAAGGGTAAAGCCTGTAACAGTAGAAATAAATAGTAAGGACTCTGCTTAAAATTTTACTCAGTTGGTAATAGGCAATGTATGTCATAAATGTGGTTTCAGATTTCCATCAGAATAATGAGAAAAAGAAAGAAAAAGAACGTGAAGCTGCTAAACTAAATATCTTTTGCAGAGGGCTCCCCAAACCAAGAACTGACATGGTTAAAGGGGTACTTAAGATTTTTTGAACTGGGGTTGTATGAAGTACTTATCAGTAGTTAATGTATTATGTACTGTAGGTGTTAGTCAGCATGCCCCCAGTTTGGAGAAACTGGCAGAAGTGTTAATGTAATGTACCGCTATGGAGACATCACCAACAAAATGTATTTTGGCCACCTAAAAAATCAATACTAGTTTAAGTGCATGCTATATTTAGAATATTTTCACCGCTTCACATGGCTCCAGACAGCAATTTCCATTGGGGAACTCAAGCTGTTGTATCACTCCCATCAAAGCCAGACTCCATTGAGAAAAACAGTAATTTAACATTGCTAAACACAGGAGCTGCTGATCTACTGCTGCCTTGATCAGTCAGTTTGTCCGTGTTATTTTGTGACTTTTGTATTTAAAAGGGTTTGGATTCACCAAAGTCACACCATAACACAAACTAACTGCTTGAAGCAGTGGTAGACCAGCAGCTGCTGTTTTAACTGGCGGAAATTACTGTTTTTATCAGTGGGGTCTGGTAGCTTTGACAAGAGCATAGATGGGGAACAGAGGCTGTTAACTGCTTCCCTGTCAGAAAAAGGGCTGTGTGCAGCATGGTAAAGTGGTGAAAATATTCTAAATATAGCAAACAATTAAATTGATATTGATTTTGCTGCTGACCCATGTTCACAGCATGGCTTCAGTGGTACTCCTGCCTGCTTCCTCAAACTGGGGGTGTGCTGACCGACATCTATTGTAGGTAATACACTGACTATGATAACTACCTTATACAACCACACTTCAAAAGATCTGAACTATCCCTTTAAGGTGGATATATCTCTTTGTAAGAGTTATTAAGAATAAAAAATACCACCCTATGATTTGCTAGGTACTCACATGTGTCCGGAGTAGAAATACGACCTGTAGGATTTTGGCACTCAGACAGGATGCATTTATGCAGCTCTTGAAGTCCTATAGAACGATAAACCTTACAGAAGAAGTTGCTTCACCAGAAAACAATCTAACTGGGGTTTTTAAAAGGTGTATGATACTTTGAGCTGCAGTAAGATTGAATATTGCTGTTACGCTTTAACATGCCTTTGTCTTAAAGGCCTGCTTTAGTGAAATTGTTGGTAATCTATCAAAATCCACACATGCTCGTCCTACATCACCACTTGCTGAGCTAATGAATTATTTGGCATTCAGTGCCCGTATTACCGTTGCCCACATGCATTCCCTTCAGAGCATTCATGGCACCCAGTTTAAAATTAAGATGCTCAACCTTTGCCAGCTGCTCCTCTAAAGTGCCAGGGGTGCTTCTCTCCCCTATCATACAGATCCCTCATCACAGATTCTAGAGGTGTTTGCTCATAATTTGGCATGTCTGCTAGCCCACTTGCCCAGTCACAGCATAGGCTGCACACAGCCTGTGTGGTTTCTTCCCTTAATGCCATCTATTACCTGAACAGCAGGCTCTGTGCTCTGTTCTCCCTTCAGGAGGAGACCTCAATGTCTTACAAGTCATCCAGCAGCAGTCAGATCAACCTTCACTCTATTAATCACTGCTATATTGTACGTGTCATATTCCCTTTTGCTCCTCAAATTACATCAAAGCCTCACACATACACACACACAAAGTAATCAATCTACTTGGCAGTTGAGTGTCTGTATTCTTGCATAATAAGTTCATTATTTGTCTTTGACCTGCTGTTGCCCTTTGTGTTAAATTTCTGGGGGTAAGTTTCCTGCAGTGTGAGTAATGATAAAAACTCTGTGACCGAAAGGCGTTGGTCTCACATTAAAGTTGTTCTTTTATACTACAAGTGTTGCTGGACTTTTGACCTCTTTAGATTTCTTTCCCTTGTCCATGCACCTTGTAAGTAGGTGAAGTTGTGCCAAAAACCCAACCCTGCTTCCATGGTGTGAATGATAGTGCCAGATAACGATAACCCAGGCATGCCAGGTACATTTTTATTTTTTTGTGTGCTAAATTATAAGCTTGTCTCTGCTGGAAGTAACTTGTTTTTGCCTTACAAATGAAGCTAAGTGCCCAGAAATGTCAAATAGATGCTGCATTGGCCAAAAAAAAATCATTCATCAAGAAAGCTGTAAAGTGAAATCACTGCTAATAATGTGAAGTACTAATCACTTTGACAGCAAGTTGGATAATACACCATAAAAACATTCCCAATTCATTTTGTGTTAATCAAGCACAATATTTACAAGCTCACTGTTTGATGACAGCAGGATCTGATCGAGAGTGAGTTAAGCCTGGAGGTGGGGTAAAAAAAAAAAAAAATCACCTTTTTCCTCAGAAATTAAGGAAAACTAGCCTCAAACTCCACCATGTTCTACAGTAGGTGATTCAATAATGAGACATCTGACTCATCCTGATGTACCTGGCACAATCAGTTTGTTAGAAATAGTTATCTCTTATTATCATCAATGTTACCACATGCTTTATTTTCAGCATGTGTAACATTCCTGCCTAATTAAATGCAAATATATGATGCAACCCGACTAATTAGTACATCATCATCATTCATTTATTTGTCACATGAAATCATACAAGGTACAGCTCCAGTGAAATCTGATCCTGTCAGCTCGTTCAACTTGTTCATTGCAATTTTTTGTTTCTTCTTACATTGAAGGCTGCTACTTTATAATTGGCCATGTTTCCAGACTGGCTGCAGTGTGTGTTTATGGCCTCCTGGATTGGTTCTGGTGATCGGTGGTTTGTGGTTGTGAAATGATTGAACTGTAGTTTTGGGTACAGTTGCTTCTGATGTTTTACAAATTAAATCCACCACAGGCCGAATCCATTGATGTCCCCTAGTTATGTTGATGGTGGCTCCATCTCTTGAGTCACTGGAAGCATGTGCTGTGGTTTGTTCTCATATCTTTATCTTAACAAGATGGCTGCATGGTCACTCCACCCGAATTAGAGATGCAGCGATCCAGCTTTTTCAGTTTCGATACCTATCGCGATGCTGTGGCTTTTTGAGTATCGGCTGATACCCGATACCGATCCAATACCATGGTTGACCTAAAAAGCTATATACCTTTACATGTAGAACAGAAAAGACTAGAGGCATCAGGCATTGATGACTACACAGTTCTTTAAAAAGATAAAATGAAACAAGATGAAAAAGATTAATGCAATGATGAACTATTTATTTTTAACAAAAATAAACAATTGTGCAACAGCAGTTGAAATAGTGTGAAATACCTCCATACAGCAGATTCTTCCCTTTGCTCCATGATGTATGATGTAGTTCGCATCACAATAGATTTAAAGGGAAAGGATCGCCTCAGGTATAGGTTTTCCGATACCCGATCCATCTATTTTAATGATATTGGGGCCGATATTTGATCCAGATATCGCATCGGTGCATCTCTAACCCGAATATGGGCAACACCACTGTGCAGCCCCCTCTGACCGGTGTATTGCTGTGATCCAGTGCAGGAACAGGACAGCACCTCACATTCCCACTGTCACACCAGTCCTCACTTATAAAATACATGCCTCCTCTCCTTCTCTCGCCAGAGTCCTCTGCTCTGTGAGATTTTCATATAGAAAAAGAATCACTTGGTTGAATGGCGCTGTCCAGGATTTAGCCAAGTTGCGGTGAAACAAAGGATATTACAGTTCCTGATATCCCATGATGCAGCACTGAGATTGTCCAGTATCCAGTTTCCAACGCTTGTACATCTTCTTCATCTTTACTTGATGTTAACTGATGTTTACATTATAAAACCTCGACCTGGCTAGCTGGCAGAAGTTAGCTGGAGAGTAGAGTTTACGGACTGGAGAGTTGATTTCCTCATCCCAGACCTCCACCATCCAACGCCAACCAAATAAAGGCGTCAACAACTTTTGCAAAACAGACACAAGTTTTGCACAAATTTTGCGGAGCTGACAGAGGGGCCACTGTGAAGGTCCAAGCCCTTTTGTAGAAGTCATGACTGGGCACCAAACAAAAGAGGTTCTTTTGTTATATAAAAGCTTCCATCCATTACTTAAACTACAATATTTCCTTGATGCTTCCTCCTTATGTGTCATGATCATACTTGTAATCAAGCAAAGAAAACTAACTGATACCACACACTGTGAAGCCTCTAGACTTTGATGTATTTTGGGGGTTGTATTGGAAAAATGTCACTTAGCATCTTGCTGTGTTTCACAGAAAGCATCCCACAGCCACCCACATGATTAGTTGGAATAGCACTGTGAGATTGTTTACCCACTGTAGCATTCTCCACTCTCACGTACAGTTTAGCTCAGGCGAAACTTTTTTAGATGTTCTTGTTAATCTTCTCACCTGATCCATCACATTTTGATTTCCACCTTACACTGCATGTGTTTTTCTTTTCTTCTCCTCTCTTTGCGCCCCTGTCACCTTCATATTATCCACATCTACTTGGGTTGTTTTCAAGGTGCATGGCTTTCCACCATCACCGTCTCTTTTTCGTGTAATTTTTGCTCCTCTTCCATGACGCATTTTTATCCTTTGAGCCCAGAGCACTGTGAACTCTTGAACATTTCTCCCCTCCATCCTGTCAAGAGCTCGTCCCCATTCTGTCTCTTCTCTAGCTTCCGTGCTTTTTCTCTCCTCTTAAAGTTTGAGCTCTAGTCATCTTTTATTTCTTCCACAAGTTCCTGTCTCTTTTCTCGCTTTAGAACAAGTGGTACAAGAATCAAGCATGCACTAGTTTTGCTATTAATATGGGAAGTCTAGGTAATGCCATGCTA